CTGTTAGATTCTGTTTTATTGATTTGTATGTTAATGTGTTGATGTGGGAACAAAGGCAGAAAGCTGTTGTTAAACTACATTTACACTTTCACACTCTACACAAACATCAAACTGTTCTCCATGTGAGGATGACCATGGAGACTGACTGAAAGCTCCTCCCTTCAGAGTGAATTTTACAACAGATGTTTTTAATAAATCCACAACTTTTTCAACATGTCAATGTTAATGTCTCAACTAAAAGTATAAAAACCTAAGTTAATGACACAATAATAGCTACAGGAAGAAGTTAATGAGTGTGTTAAGTCTGGTTGAGGGAAATGCATGCTGGGATACTTGTTTAAAGTAAGACATATTCAGGTCACCTGGGCTGAACATGTGGACTCTGAATCTGAGCTGTACTTCAGTTGTGACTGATGGTGTGTCAGAACACAGGCTGAGGACAAGGTGTGCTATAAAGGTGTGTTACCTGTAAGATGGAGCAGTGGGCAGAGTCAAAGGAGGACATGCTCCTCCCAGCAGAGCTCTGACACAGGCTGCACCGCCCTCTGCTGTCGACTGCAGGTTATAACCCCCCTACAAACAGTAAACTTTATGTAACAAAACTGCTGAGCAATGGTGGCACACTGGCCCAGTTCACCGCAGCATGGCTCTGCTGGGGACTAACATGAATATTATTTATGGATGATACAACTGTATTCTGTCTGAAACAACATTTGGATACAGGGAGAAAGAATTAAAAATGACCAAGAAATGGTCTGATGCTAATATATTATCACTGAATCCTAGTAAATCTAGACAGCACTCAGAGAGAGCAGACCTCCGCCAACGGGGGAGTGTCCCCATAATGCCATAAAAGCAATATTCCCATGACAGTGAGACCCTCATACTATGACTGCTTGACCATGAATTTATGGAACAGCTGTATGTAGTGAGAATTTAAAACATGCGCTACACTTACCAAGCCAATAAACTGTTCAAAAATCATTTAATGAACAAATATAAAATACAATATTTGAAACTGTAAATAAATGATGCTTGGAATTTTAAAAGTGAGTGAGATAAGGAAACTTTATTTTGATGTAGTTTTGCATAAGTTAGAGGGGCAGACTTAATAAGCTGTAGCGTCAGCCTCCACCCTTTCAGTGTGTTCCAAGGCTATGTGTTCTTTGTTTTGAGGTTTATTTTTTTATTATGTCTTATCAAATTACTGTAGGAAACAGTGCTTTTGTCATGTTTTTATAGTTATAGAGAGTAAAATGAATTTTATTCATTAACAGTACAGGACTAGTTTGTACTGGTCCATGTCAGGTGTCAGATCACATGTTAAAGCATAGCGCAGATGTTCTAGTAAAAACCTGAAGCTGCTGTGTGTTCATTTAATGTGTAACAGAGTTTTACCTCAAGAGCGAGAACAAGTCGACCTTCAGCCACACTCATCAACAGGTGAGTCAGAATGTGGAAACACGGAGGACTCACATTCATCTCCCCCTGAACAACCAAACACAGTTTGTAGGAAAAGTGTAAATATTAAACCAGGTAAAGAGACACTTCTTCAATGATCTCAGGTCTGTGCTGTTTTTACCTTTGGGTCTCCGAATGCAGCATCAAACCCAGCACAGACCAGAACCAGCTGAGGCTGAAACTGAACCCACACATGTCACAGATGAGCACACAGTATAATCAATACTATCAGTCAGTAATTCACAATAAAATGTGCCAAAGAACGGGACATCATTCTATGGAAGCTCAGTACATAAGTTAAATAATGTTTGCCCATTATTTGGCCCCACAGAGGGAGGTGTCAGGCCATGCTGTCATAAACTTTCAGAGCCGCACAGTAAGCAACACCATTTTCCAGACCTAACCTGCCCTTAACACAAAGCGTCTCTGAATCCTGTCCTCAAACAAACAAAGAGGAGATATGTGGCTTGACACACAGCATCTATTATGCTGTCATAAACTTTCAGAGCCCCACAGTAAGCAACACCATTTTCCAGACCTAACCTGCCCTTAACACAAAGCGTCTCTGAACCCTGTCCTCAAACAAACAAAGAGGAGATATGTGGCTTGACACACAGCATCTGCATTGTATTTGCTCAGGTTAAGCAGCGGCTGGTCCAGCTGACTTGTAGTGGCCATTACCTCTGAGAGCCGGGTCCGCTCAGCTGTCCAACCACCAACACATTTCTACCAAGACTGTCTAACAGAAGAAGACTATTAATAATTCCAGTGAGTCTACAACTATACTATCACCAAGACCAGTACAAGTTCTGTGTGGGCAAGGGAGTGAAGGCAGGTTACAGGGTCATCAGGTGGCCGCCCTCTCACTAACTAGTGTTTCGTTGAGTTGGGCCCACGGCATAGAGAAGGCTCAACAGTATTCCAGTGTCCCAGAACCAGGATTAGGTTTAGGTAAGGGTAAACTGTGATGGTTGAAGTTAAGGTTGCAAGGATAATGGATGCAATGAAGGTCCTCACAAAATAGAAGGACCAACGTGTGTGTGTGTGGTCACCTCGTAGGCCAAAGGCAGCAGCAGCTGTTGGAAGGCAGCGATGTAGTCAGCGTCCGTCATCCCAATCTGTAAAGCAACAACACACAACAGGATGAAGAGGAAATCAGAAAACACAGCACGAGATGTTAAAGGGATAATCACCACAAGTACAGTGCCTTGCGAAAGTATTCGGCCCCCTTGAACTTTGCGACCTTTTGCCACATTTCAGGCTTCAAACATAAAGATATAAAACTGTAATTAGAAGTTCAGTGTCTTGTCCAAGGACACTTGTGATGATTTGAACCTCTGACCCTCCGGTTGGGAGACGACTACTCTACCCACTGAACCACTGTCACCCATCAACTGAAATTTCCCATCTCAGTTGATGGGAAGCTGCCGTCCACCATCTCCTGGTTCATTCTAAACTCCTTCCCAGTCTTTCTCGTGACCTTGGACTGTGCTCCCCCAGTCTCTTCCCTGGAACTCATGCTGTCTCCCCTCTAGGCTGTTCATATACGATTCCTGTCTTCTCGGAACTGTCTCCTCATTCAGTTGAACGTGTCAGGACCTTGTAAGGTTTAAGGTCCTGACATGTGTCACAGGCCTAGCTAGCGGGATGCAGCTGTTGGACCCTGTGGTGTTGCTTCAGGACGGGGGTCTTAACACCAGAAAGGTGTTATGAAAATGCTGTTAAGATGTTCTGCTCAGGGTAGGGGGGTTTAATAATAATAAAAATGTTATTGTTTATATAGCGCTTTACAATACCAAAGAGAGTTCAAAGTGCTTCACAATAAAACAGAGCATGCCAAAATATATAAACAAACAAAAGAAAAGTTAACACATAGGGATCCTATCTGCAACTAAAAACTAAAGATATGCTCATAGATTTTAGGAGGAAACCTCATAGGCACGAAGTCACTTTAATTAAGGGGCAGACTATTGAATATGTGCAAACATACAAATATCTGGGGACGATCGTTGACAGCAAATTGAGTTTTGAGGAGAACTGTGAAATGGTGTGTAAAAAGGATCAGCAACGTCTACACTGTTTAACAAAACTTGCATATTTTCATATTGACTGAACCTTAATGAATATGTTTTATTGAGCTTTTATTGAATCTATTTAATTGTTTTCTCTAGTGTCATGGTTTGGTCAGATAACGTTAAGACAGAGGAAATCCTTGGAGCAAGTAATTAAGTGGTCTAGTCGCTTGTTTGGGGAGCCACAGTTAAGTTTAGCAGCCCTGTACAGTAGACAGGTACAGAGGGTAGTTACTTCTATTCTGAATGATGACTCCCATCCCTTGTACTGCCACTTTCGGCTTCTTCCTTCTGGACGAAGGTTTGTCATCCTGAGATGTAAAACGCAGCGGTATAGAAATAGTTTTGTCCCTGATGCTGTCATAGAGTTAAATAGGCTGTAGTAATATATTGTAAGTAATTTTAGGTTGTCTTCGGATTTTTATTTTTTTTTTTTGGTGGAGCCCCGAGTACTTTTATTATGTTCGGTGGAGGCGTCAGGTTTATGTTATATGTTGTTGTATTCTTGTATTTTGTGAATGTGTCAAGGATGTCATTTGATCTGACTGCAAGACAAATTTACCTACGGGTATAAATAAAGTAACCTAACCTAATACAAGTATAAGACCATTTAACATTGCACAAATTTAAAACAACGATCTGTAAGAACTATAACACTTTTAGAATAAAAATGAGTCAAAATACAGATAGAGAAAGATTATGAAATATAAAATCAGGACGGTCTGTAGG